CCATGCGAAGCCGCGGCGGGTCGCTAGTATTTATTAAAAGACAAAAATAACTCCTATATGCTGACGCAAATTTCGAAAGCTACCTGGGGTTTCTGTTTTCTTACGTTCAGGAGCAACCTACCTGGGATGCGTGTGCTACGGCGGCACTTGTCTGGGCTGATATGCCCACAATAAGTGTGGTACGGCGAAAACGTCTCCAAGGCCAGCGTCTAGACTTAATTTTCCTGTATAAGGCTTATAGGACGGTTAGCACTGCGGCCCTACCTGTGGTCGCGGGTGTACTTCTGGTCAATCTTGAGGTGCAGTGACGTGCTGCTATGTACTACAATGCGAGACCTAATTTGTCAGCAAGCTTTCTAACACAACGTGATCGAAACATAATTGCTAGATTGTTTAAGCCATTAACGGACGTCTGGGATGAACTTGTAACTGAATGGCACTATAGATGGGAATTATAATAATTTAATGTTTTAGGTAGCTAATGAACCAAGTAAGTAAGTTTTTCAAATAGTTTGTAACTTTGTACGCTTGGTGTATAATATATGTATTTTTTTAATAAATCTAGTTTTCTATTGACCAAATTAGTGACTCAAATAAAATGTGATTCTAATAGACTTGCTACTTTAAAACGAATGATTTTTCCGAAAGTATTAGTATTAATAAATGTTTATTGATGTATTAGCAACAAAACCACTTAAATCAAATCAGTAATTTTTTATGTGTTGATATTTATTGATCAGTATTTTTCACCAAAACCGAAAATGTTGAATATCTCAGAAACTACCCACACTAGTCGGACTAGGGACCTCAGGTCTAAATCTGTAGGAAATTAGTTGTATTATCAGGTGATAATACGAGCTCAGGAGGTCCTGAGCGGAATACGTCGAGTCACAAGTCACCCTGTATATCCAGGATTGTAATTAGCAGTTAAAAAGGATACAACACCAAGGAGTTATGAGTTTTCAGGTCATTGAATCTGCCATTTCAAAGTGTCGGGTTCATTTCAACGTCACTTCAACTGGACCCTATTATATCGTCTCTTTTTCCTAGTTGGGCCTTCAGCCAAACGCTACTTTAGTCTACCGAGAGAGTAGAAATTAAAATATATGGGGATAACACTGAGAAGTGTTAAAATTTACGTCAATTCCATATAATTTGTTCCATATAATTCCATTATTCTACATATAGACATTCGCTAAATGGCATTTGGCTACAGCTGCAGGTTAGACTGTATTGGTTTATTGAAATGTTACTTTATTTTATTTTTGGGGCGCAATTTGTGTAAGCGTAAACTCAACTGTGGGGTCACTACCCTCATTCTCCGGCCGTATCTGCGACCAGCTTATCATGGTCCCGCTTTGTATGATCTTTCCGTAAAAAGGAGTTTATCAGTACAAACAGAACCAGTGTTCTGTTGAATAAAATCTCATCGTATTATGATGTACATTCTTTGAAAATCTTATAGGTTTGAGCACAGAACATATAAAGAAGGTTGAGGGATTTGCTTGTAAATCTCGTAATTGTATTTCTTTATCGGTATTGATCATCACTTAAATTAGTAGCAAATCCAGTACAAAATGGCCCTTAATTCTATGGCAAGATCATACAAAGCGAGACCATTATAAACTGGTCATAAATGGTGGCTAGGTGACGAGGGCAACGACCCCACAAACTTGAGTTCTTTTTTTTTTGTTACGGGAAATTATCTAATGCCTTCTCCCGCTTCGTAGCGTCGGTCACTTACTGACTAAAAACTACCCCGTTCCTAATCCTGTTCTTTGAGTCGCCGTAGCCCGGGCAACCCGTTAGACCTCCTGAAACTGCCATGTCCGGTAAGTACCTGCATCAGGCGGTAGGTGAGGACGCGGCCGTAGCGTCTCTCAAGCCACTCCTCTAAGACTAAACAAAGGGCAATTCCGCTGCAATGACAGCGAGCACAACAGACTTGAGAGTTTAATCTTCTACTAACTCCCCATACACATCCCAAAATTAAAATTACGTCCTCTAACAAATGCAAAGCCCATGTAACATTTTAATCGGTTTCTGTTTAGTAGGCAAGGTTCTAAGAGTTATCAGAACAATATTAAAAAAATCCAAGTTTTAGACTGGCACAGGTGGTTTAAAACTAAACTATGATTGCTTTGACACGAAGCTGTTTCGTTGATATTATTATCATTATAGTCTACGATACATGATGATATAATGTTGGTACTTCATCCTTTTAAATTAACTTGTTGGTGGAGTTGACTGATTTGAGGCTCAGTTATTGAATGGATGTGTAAACTAGCTAATCTGGCGCGGTTTCATACGCTACTCTTATTAATCTTATTGAACGTAGTGCGATGTACCTATAGACAACGAATTTAAAAAAAATACGTTACGCAATATTTATATTAACGCCCCCACTAAACCGTAAAATGTTTAAAGTTAGGGATTGGCGCAAAATCAAGTATTTTATTATTCAATTATATTGTTTTTAGTTTTTCATTATGTGTTCTATATTATTTTTACAAAACTTCTTCAGTCCTTGAATGACACAAATTAACTGTTGACACTTCAACTATTTAGAATTCAGAAAGACACATCGATAGAAACGGTAGCAACCAAATTCCCTCATAACAGGTTTGAATTATTACAACTTGGCACTAATTACAGTCATTTGACTTGATACATTTTAATGTATGAAATCAATTAACATAATACGTTTATTTCTTAAAAAACTTCATTATATCTCAAATTCCTGTTTTCTGAAAGTACCTCTACTTACCGTTAATTGATGAATTTTACTCGATATTTTACTTGAATTAATAAACTATGAATATTGATTGTAGGTAATTGGCTAACAAATTTTGTGTTTGAAATTTAAATTTAAAATAGAATTTGAATCAACAGTTACTTATTACTATTTAGTATTTGTTTGCTAATGTATGGCTAAGGAATCACGGCGCGATTTTCTCCCGCGCCCGCTACCATAGCGGAATACAGGCGGAATTTTCAAAACTCACTAGACCGCTGTTTTTTTTGCGCTCCCACAGCCACCACGGTTGCGATTATCACCCGCAAACTTGGCGGTTAATTATCGCAAAATAATCATCATACCACATCACAATCGGCGAAACGTAACCGATTCATTCATAAATGCCCCACCCACACGCACGAAGCGCTTCGCATCAAGCATCCTTGTGCGTACTGCTGAGGAGTAAAATAGGGTAGACGACAAATTTTTATTTTATGTCCGTCTCGTAGATGATTTATAAACTTTAGACACGTACTTTTTATTTTTTTTTACGGAAACTAATAGTTTCGAAGATATATTCATTTGAAATGTCGCGTGACATCACTTCTCAGTACATTTTATACTAAGAAATGACGTTATTTCCGAAATGAAAGTTGTAATTAAATTATAAGCGCCGCCAGTAATTCTCGTAATTGTACATGCCATTTTGTAATATAAATACATCGAGATGTCTTTTTTTCATATTAGATATATCTGTTAGTAAGTATATCCTTATTGTCATTCATGTACTGGTGATAGATTTCTTTAAGGTCCATAGCACAGGCAACACGTAATTACCGTGCGTATACACTGCGCTGTTTCTCTTTATGCGCGCGTATTCTCAATGCAAACACATCAATCAACATCTACGGCGCCGAAAACGCGCGTTTCCTGTTCCTATAAAACTATGCCGTGTGCTATGGACCTGAGGTGTCCTTATGATATAATATATTCAAATTAACTATCACGGTTTCTCGTTAAGGTTCCTGTTCCAAAGAAAAGTCTGCAATATCCACCATGTGCGATACGTTGGCTACGCGAGCATTACTGCCTAATGGCTTGGTAAGTTTCCTACAGGGCCCGTCTGACGCTGTACAGCGATCTATTTGCTGATTGATATTCGTATGTACCTATATTTAAGATGGTAGTATTTAATAAATACCGTATGAAGGTGCACCGCCAATCGCGACCTGTTCGGTCGTGTTCTATGCCAGAGCGCACGTGTCGCTCGCTCAGCCGCAGCAGCCGCAGCAGCCGCCGTCAGCGGCACAACAGCATGCCTCCCGTTCGGGCCGCGCGGTCTGAGGTGTGTTACTTTTGAGGTGGATCATGGTAATGTGATGGTATCTCACTCACCATCACTTCGAGCATCAATTTGAACTACGCACCTACACATATTTTTCAGGCATGTTTTTATTACGCTTTAAGCTCTTGGCACACCTAATAATCACGACTCCGGTACGGCGTTTTTTGCTTTGTTCATTGGCGTTTTTTGGTCAACACTAAGTTCTAAGCGCCGACGGCGCGCTGTTTGTGGGCTCACTTACAGCTTTTTTATATCGACGTTATGAAATAAGTCATACGACATACAATTTAAAGTTCATTTAAGGTTCATATTGTTGTATTAGAGCTGTGCCGGGACCATGTTTGTTAGGTGTGCGATGACCTTTAATCTCGTGTTGCACTTTAATGAATTGTAGTCTAGTAGAAAATTAATCCATTCATTCAAATTCATATCATTATGATTGTTGGTTTCGCAAATTAGATATACATCCACATCCACTTTTCATGGAAGAATGTGTTGTTAGTCGACATTTCGTATAAGTTCGTTATTGTGTTTTTGCGTGGCGTTCCTTTTTTTATATTTATAGTCTATGATTGTCGTCCTAAAATTTAGAATTTCATTACTGTGTGTTGCGCGCCTGGCAAATTTCGCTGAGCTCCATATTGAATAATCAATATGTGCTGCCCTGTCTATCGCTAATGTAAATTATTTTGTAACAATATAATATTAGATGAATGTTCTGGATTGTTATCTTTAAGTTCAAATATATTCAGTATTTTGCATCGGCTATATATATTTTGCTAATGCCTGTATCAGGTCAGTTGTCTTGAAACAAATTAAACTATATGATGTCGTATTACATTTTCTTGTATCTAGTTTACCGATGCGAAATTCTGTGATGATCTAAGTCTTAATATCTGCATTTTATTCCTGTTACAGATATCATTCTTGGCTGAAGGCAAACCTTGGTCTGCTGAGGATTTTACACAAGAATTAACACAAAAGAGCAGTGGCTGGTCGTCTAACTTCGTCACGCCCGACCGTTCGGCCACCTTCAACAAGACGAACTCTGATGATCTAAGCTACCAGTATGTACTTTATATATATATAAAAAAACAAAATAATCTATACCTGAGACCGAGTACGCAAAACGGACCATGATGCAATTTTACTAACTAATCTACTGTACTAGAGAAAGATTGCATCGTCTGAAAATACACGTGACATGCTAATGTGCTTCCAAATGGCGACTATATTTTTATTGCGATTGACATCGAATAATACTCTAAATAATTAAGAAATTCGCGTCATGCCCCTCTATCCAGAAAATAGTTCACTATATAAAAATGAATTGAAAATTGAAAAGTTGAAGAAATTATGTTTTCTACCATATTACAGAAATGCAAATAGGTACCATAAAGCTGGAGAAAACGAAATATTTCCATTAAAAAAATTATAGAAATCAATTGTTTGTTCTTTGATTATAAAAGGACAATGCCAGGTGCTCAGTACATCTTTGACCCACTATATTAGAAGTCATGTACAAGTATGCAGTATTCAGCATCGTGTAGTGTATTAATTACTGATACCAAAACATTTGTCCTGAAACCTGTAAAACTTGCGGTTTTTGTTTAAAACACAAAACAATAATGATAAATAACGCGAAAACAACGGAAACGCAGAGAGCGAATGAAAGATAATATTAACACTGACAGCTGACAACTGACAAGCGCTTCAAAACGTTTCGTTACACAAAAATATGTAACTAATGATAATAATCGTTTCTTTTATATTTTCGTGATTTCATCTGTAATTATTAATAAATAAATAAATGTTATACATAATTATACTTCTGAAGTAATATTTTATGTATAATGATATCAGAATATTTTACAGTTACTTACTTTTTTATTTTCATAGTTTCGTACAAGCGATGCGTATGACGTAACGCAAATAGTTATTAGACAATATAGAAGATGCATTGTAATAAAGTATTTCCGGGATTGAACTTCTTTTTTTATTAGACTGCAAACCGCAAGTTTAAAAATAAAAAGATTTATTGTGAAAAGGTTCCTTATTCGTCAAAATTATTTTCATCTATTTACTTTTTTTGTAAATGATATTATGACTGGGTCAGGATCTGGCATTGTCATTTCTGTAGTCGTAGATAACTTACGACAAGTAGGTTTTGGGACATGATTCAGGTTGTAATAATAAAGGTTTTTACAAGTTACCCGACTATCTCATACTAGCTACTTCCGCGCGGTTTCACACGCTCTGCTCAGCTCCTATTGGTCGTAGCGTGATGTTTTATACCCTATAGCCATCCTCGATAAATGCGCTATCCAACACAAACAAAGAATTATTCAAATCAGACTTGTAGTTACGGAGATTAGCGCGTTCAAACAAACAAACAAACAAACTTCCGCTTTATATAATAGTATAAGATATCGAGGTTCTTACCCTCATATAAACTAATTTGATAATGAAAATGATGTTGTAGCTTCGCTGTGCATTTCTATTGCTTATACCACGGGGAGTGCTATGAGGAATTGTTTGACCTGATACCTGCCGCATCTTTTCGCCATCGACCCTCACGACAGCATATGCATCCCCATCAAATAGATGGTTGGCAGGCCACAACTGTGCTCTTCTCACGTAGCCTTCTGCCTCGCTCAGCAAAACTGTGGAATGATCTGTCGTCGGCAGTATTTCCGAACCGATACGACCTTCAAAACTTCAAGAAAAGAGCGTATTCCTTTTTAAAAAGCCGGCAATGAACCTGGGCGGCGCTGATCGCTTACCATCCGGTTATCCGTCTGCTCGTTTGCCTCCTATTCCATAAAACAATAAAATGAAATACAAACACAAAGTTTACCCTACAAAGTTATAGAGAACTAGCGGCCCGTCCCGGCTTCGCACGGGGGGACTTAGGATTTTTACATTTTTACGTTTTATTTATATTTATTCTCAGTTTTTTTTAGCGACCTGCCTTCCGTTGTCGATGTCGCGTCTTAAGGTAACCGATTGAACAATTCAAAAGTTATCTAGAGCAAACTTTTATAAGGATTGAACCATTCATTAAAACGATTGTTATGGGTAAACTATAAAAGGTAGACATATGCTCTCGCGGACTTTTTTAAAAATAATGTTAAGATGAACAATTCATCTATAGAGCATTTTTGTATAACTTTAACTATATGCTCAGCGCACGCCACGGAAGGCCTCAGAAACGATACTTTTCCCCCGTTTTTAAAACATTTTTGGTTACTGCTCCACAACTATAGGACCTAGCGTGATATTAGAAGTATATAGCCTATGTTACTTCTGAATAATGCAGCTTTCTAATGGTGAAAAAGTTATTGCAATCGGTCCAGTAGTATTTGAGTTTATTCATTACAAACATACAAAAATACAAAAATACAAATCTTTCCTCTTTATAATATTAGTATAGATTAATTCGCTACAATATGTATACACACAAATATCATAACATTAATAGGAAATAGAACATTTGCAATAAACGTGTAATATTTTTGATGTTAGAGCATCAAATGTTTGAGACATGTATCTCACATTCCGAGATCCTTGTCTTAATTACGCTTGCTTTCCCAGGTTAAGTAAGCCAATTTGTTATCTGGCAAAAGTTAATGAATTTATGGTTAGTTTTGATTGTAGAGATTATTATCTCTACAATTGTTGTCTTAAACGAAATAAATCACATTTTTTTTCGTTTTAAACTACAATTCTTGCTGTGTTTGGATTATGAATTAATCCTATTATGATGGGCAACAAGCTGCCGCGCAACGTGTCGTGAGTTCAATTCTCGCTCGAAGCAACTCTTGATGTGATCCACAAATTGTTGTCATGGTTCGGGTACTAAATATATGTGTATGAAATTATATGTTTGTAAACTCGTTCACGACAAAGGAAAAATCCTAGTGTGGGGCAAAAAAGGAGACTGGTGGTGGGCCCTAAAATAACGATGTCGCGTCGTTGAAAATGTACAAAGAAATTTGTCAGCGATAAGCTAAACATACCAATATATCCACTGTACTTTCACATCAAAAGCTCTACAGGCAACACGCTATGCCACAAAAGATGTCCAACATGTTTGCATTAAAACATGTAAGTGATGAACGATGAATGAAATCACAACGAAAATGGAAGTGTGCAATGGACCATAAACCACAATTTTCAAAAGAACTTTTATCATGAAAGTTTTCGAATATTTTAACACTTATACCCATTAATAATTATGAATTAGGTTGACTTCAGGATTGCGTACGAGCTCACAAAGACGACATATAGGTACGTCACGTGAAAGTACACTGCTGGTCTCCTCTTCAAAGAGGGGGGGGGGTTGTCATAGTGTCTGCGCTACATAGGCGAGTAGAACATCGCAGTTTAAAAAGATGAGGTTCTGGTTCAGGATCTGTGATTATTCATGCCTGAAATCAATAAACAAAACCTTTGGATTACGATCGAAGTTGGCTCTTAGTATATATAGGGGTAGTGAAAAAAAATTTTGGTCTATTCACAGATTTTCAATTATAATCAGTGATTGATTTTAACGTTATGTTAATCGGCATTTACGATACGCGCCAGCGGAGTGGTCAGTGTATTTTACTCTGCCGTCATCAAATCACGTATAGTACAAATCGGAATACTCATCAATAAATTGGTCGACCTGAGAATAGATCAAGACCCTTTGTCACCAGGCAACATAGACGGCGGTACATACAATGTCCAGACTGGTTACTCAGTATCAATTGATGACCGGAGATATGTTGGAAACAGAGCCTATGAACGCCTATACATATTAGGAGCTGCCTATGTCCGCCCTCACTATACTCCATTTTAATTAATAGACTGCAATCTGTCCATCGAGTTGATGTACAGTCAGTACAGTTAGTTAGTACTTGCTTGTGACAGCAGATTCGCTCGCGTTCCCGTGCGATAAAAAGTAGCCCATGTTATTTATTACAGACCATGATCGTCTGTTCGAATTTTCATCCTGATACCTTCAGCTGTTTTGACGTAATTGAGTCACAAGCATGCACACAAACTCACTCACAAACTTTCGTATTTATAATACTAGCTGTTACCGCGTAGAATAATTACTTCTGGTAGAAATTGGGTTTTTGAATTAGTCTTTCGGAGTCGCGGAGAACCTAACGGGTAACCGGGGCTCCGGCTCGACGTGCAGGAGAAGGAACGGGGTGGTTTTATTCAGTAAGAGTCTGACACTCCCTCCCGCCTCACCCAGGCGGGAGCAGTCATTGGATGATTTTCCCCCCTTAAAAAAAGGGTTAAACTGCCATCTCTAACTTGCCCGTCAAGTATGGAGATTATGCAATATTGCAAGACGGGAGCAGTCATTCTATGCCCCCCCCCCCTTAAAAAAAACAGTACATTATCATTGTGTAACTCCTATGTTTTAGCAGAGTACGCCAAGATAAGTCTCAGAGGCCCGATTTGGCTAACATTTTGTATTATATTACGCCCAAATTAACATAAAATCATTTTAAATTGCAGCCTTTAAGTTATAGTGATGTATGACCTACATAACTGCAATTTCATCTAAATCTGATTAGTAGTTTTTGCGTGAAGCAGTAACAAACACTCACTCACTCACTCACTCACTCACACTCACTCACACTCATGCACAACCTCACAACTTTCGCATTTAATAAGGTATTCTAAATAAAATACATGTTACAATATAGCTTTGCCTACTAGTGTGGGGAAAACAGACGTTGTTATATTGTGGTTTTGTACCTGAGGCCTTAGTACAAGTTTCTTTTCATATTCATATTCGAAACGAGTACCCGTTCGGCGCTGTGATTGGTTGCTTCATTGGTGCCGGCCAATCACAGTGCCGAACGCGTACTCGTTTCGAATACTTTAAACCTAAAACAAACTCATACTAAGGCCTCTGATATGCATGTAACTATTGACATCAACTTTTAATTTCCTAACAGGTGGTCTGGATCGGCCAAAAACTCTCCGTCGTCGCCCATGAGCCCGGTGCCCGGGGAGAATGCTATGGACAATACGCTGGCATCACTGGCGTCAGTGAGTACAAGATCTTAATAAATAATGCTAATGCAAACGGAACTTAATCTGTCACTTGTTAAGATTCGTTTTCGTGGGATTATTTTATCATTTACATTCAGTATTGTGTTGTTATATAGAGATTAATGGATCTATACGATATTCATGAATTTATATTATAGGAATGAAAAGTAAGTATGAGTATTATCTGGGAAAAAGTTTTTATATTATTTTATCGCGAACGTGAATGTGTTTCTATTTGAATTGTTCGTAAATTAATTTGTGCAGATTTAGGCATGTTGTTCATTGTCCCGTGTGTGGTTGAGTATGATTGTGACACGAATTCGAAAGTGTCAAAAACTATTGGAATCATGTTATAGTTTATGTCATAGCTACATCGATTTGTGTATGTATGTTTCTTATGGGATAATCTAATATTACGGTAATTGCAAATTTGTCAAAATGTTTAGACCGTGAGACAATTTTTCAACGATTTTAATCGCAGACTAGGCTCCTGATGGTAGGCAATCGACCTCCAGTAACACTACACGAGCTGTTGTTCTAGGCAATTTTTTGTATCAGGCTTCTACACTCGAGTAGGCCTATTGGTCTATTGGCCTATTGGACTTCTTAGTTCAGAACCTAGGCTTAGAGCCATATCCACCCGTGACTTGAAAATGTCGTATTAACCTCGGTTAACTGCACATGTCATGAATAGGGATGATGACAGGGTATGAAAATTAGAAATCTAATCAGTCCGTCAGTTAGGTAATGAAAAGTTATTAGACACGTATTTTTTATTTTGTTGTATAATAAAACTAGCGACCCGCCCCGGCTTCGCACACGGGTACGCACGTAAAAATACCTACTACAAAATGTCATTATACACCACGTTCACAGCTATTTTGTCATTAGACAATACAGACATGTTTTATATTGATATTTTCCTCGCTAGAGACCTTCGATAATCGCGTGCGATCGTTACAAGTCATGAAGTTCTCTAGGACGAAGCGCAGCCATCAACGCCGCAACAAATACGTCCCTGCATTTTAAATTTGTAATATCTTCGGAAATATTTACTTAAATTACATGCTGTAAAAAGCATATTGATCTATGATAAATGCACAATTTATTTAAAGTACTTAATTGGATAAGGATTAATGCTGTATTGTTTAAAATAACTTCGTAAATAACCATTGATAGTAAAGGATAAATAATGGTTATGGTGGGTTATCCCTAATAGATAGACATATACCATCGCGGACTTTTTTGTTGCACTTTTCAAGGTGGTCAATACCTCTACTGTAGTACATAATTTTGGTCTATCTCGTAGGGTACAGCCAGTCATAGCTTAGGAGTGGGAGCTAAAACGTAATTTCTGCGTATTAAATTTATAAAAGTGACGTCACGCTACATTTCAAATCAATATATCGTCGAAAGTATTCATTTCTGTAAGAAAATAAAAAATACGTGTTTAATGTTTTAAAACAATTTATCAGACGGACATTAAAATAAAAATTCGTCATCTACCCTATTGGTGTTGGAACCATTATTTGTAGACTGTTCTAGTGATGTACCTATCATTTGGTATACGAGGTGCTAGTTTTGTGCATAGTGATAATTTGTTTGTTGTCCAAGTTTGGTAGTGATATATAGTCTAGTATAGAATCGATAGTAAAATCCCATTTGAGTTGTGGTAAAATGTTGAAGACCTAATCAGCAGAACTAGGTATTAGTAGGCATTCGTATAATTACAGATATCTGTAGGTACTAAAGCTTTTATTTATTTTTGAAACTTCAAATGCTTAATGCTTATCGTACCACTTATACAAACGTAACACGTAGGTATGTGAATCCGCGGAGAATTGCTATTATGGGATAAAGATATAACAGTTATAATATGACATAAAATATATTTTTTAATTAAGGGCAAGTTCGGACGGTCGCGCCGTCGTAATGAAGACAAAGAATGTTTTTTGGCGCGGAAAAAGAAATCTTATGGGCGGTCATTAAAGATCGTATGTACTCCATTTTATATGGTTTCCAGCATTCGCATGACCATGTCGTATGTTGCACGACCTTCGGAACTTACCTTTATGCTTGGAAACTATCATAACTTCCTTCTCAAACTGAGGCCATTTTGTTGTCGAAAACCGTTCATAAACGGACCAAAATATTCAACTGCTTAAAGTGATGGTCCTTTCAACTACATTTTTCTTATCATAGTTGTTCGCTCATGTGACCTACAGTAATCTCTATTTGTCATTAGTATTAGTATAGGAATGTACTTTTCCAACATTCAACAGGTGTACTGAGATAATGAAAGCGTTTATTTTTTTGAAAATTTGTATTTGTTGTAACGTTTTGTCTTCCATCTGCTTATGACGATCAATGAAGACCGATGCCATGATTGATATCAATTTCTCAAAAAAAAAAAAATGTGTTGTTTATCCCTATACACCTACGTTTGTTGAAAAAAATGTAACGCGACAGTTTCAACAGATTAATCATTATTTCTCCTTAACTTATTCTTAAAGAAGCAAGTAAATGTCAAAACATTGGCTACTGACATCCAATCGACTAACTGACCGACGACTGCTCTCGTGGTAAGGCGATGCTATTCGGTGGCACATTCACTGCGGTCTGTAGCATTCCACTGCCTCTGTAGTTCATTTTATTTCATTCATATTAACAATTTTGCTACTGCTTAAAGAATGTTAACGTTTAAGCTTATCCTCCATTACTTAGGGCAGTATAGCAGCTTGCTGGAATGCGATTTCGTCGTCTCATGAACATTTTTGATGACAACTGCTATCAAACCAGATGGATACAGTATTTTACTTGTAGGTCTGTTAACTATTATTCAAACTTATGAGTAAAGATTGAATTAAATCTACGAGTTATGTTAACACTTAATCGCAGCCAATGTATGCACAAAGCTACTGTGTGATTTTCCCCATGATCATCTGCTTTCAGGTTTATTCTATCAATTTAAAATTGATAGAAAACCCCTTTGTATCGTGTATGCTATTACCACATTGCCTTGCATACAAAGTGAGCACGATCATGTACGTAAAGGCTTGCACAATAAAACGAATCTTCGTCTGTATGACGACTTGCATGTGCACCTGATGTCTCCTGTTCTTTGTCAGCTATCTTTAGCCCCTCGTTCCACGTTTTCCAGGGATGGTCCCTATTTACTTCATCTGTCAGCAAAGCCGCTCGCACCGCCACTGAGAGTGCCGTACGTTACGGAGGCATCGCATCGCAGAAAGTGACAGAAATGGCTTCTACCGTAACCGAAAGGGTGAGACATTTGGATTTACATTGCCAGTCCCATTCATTGTGGACTCACTTTCATTCCTCCAAGGAGGCTGTTTTATTCACGTTCTACGTGAATAATAACTAAACGGTTGAAAATCAACCAACAAGAGAGAATTTCTGCTACAACAATACGCTTTCAGCTCTGGAGCTGTTTACGTATACAGGAAAGAAACGTACGAGTTTCTGGAAATAAGACTATGGTCAGGTGCAGTATTGCTTCTGGAAAAAGATTTTTCCAATTTTCATAAACAATTATTAATTCCTTTGACTTGACTACCTTGTTGGTTCAGTGGTTTGTATAAAACTGCGGCCATGAGGTTTGGGGTTCGATCCCCGGGTCAGTCAAAAAAGGAAATTCCAGTGGTCCGAAGCCGGAAAAATTGGCGTTCTTTGAAATCAGGTAAAGGTCCTGTGTGATCTTCTCTTTGATCTTGTGGGATTAGCATTCCTTTGGATCAAGAGACTTGGGAACACAGATTGGACCTACATTTGCACAGATATTTATGCACCTATTATCTGTGCAGTTGTGTAGCCTTGACTAACCGACTAACAAATTAAGGCCGCCACAGACTGAGCTAGGGTGTTCCTGAATTCGAAGATCAAATGGCACCAGGTGATTGGCAAGGTTCTAACAGTCAACAGAAAATATAAAAAAATCTTAGTCATGTAGCTTTTTAGTTATTATTGTTTTTGATGATCTTTTTGTTGTTTTGCGGTATCATAATATACGTTAATAAATGTAGGTAACAAATAATATACATTATCTAAAATACATGGCAAAATATTCACATATCATTTTCAAGTCGTTATGACTCAGCCCCATCGTCCGTGTAACAATTTCCGGATCATGAACACAGGGTTGCAATATGATCACATCTTTTGATATATATTATAGCTACATCTGTGGTGGCCTTTAATGGAAATAACATTTTACTAACCAAAGACCAAACAAAAACATCTACAGTTTCTCTTAACACATTAAAACTAAACTGTTTGTTGGTTTGTGTACGTTTTAGTGTGCTCTTTCGAAGTAATTTCAAAAAATCTGTCTTATTTGATAGCCTTGTTCTTTAAAGATATAGGTGGACTAAAACACTGTAACAGAAACGAAGCAGAATTGGAAAAAGAATTGGCATTTCCTTTTTTTTTTAGTTTGGTAAGTTGCAAAATTTTTTCTTCGAGTGAGAAGATTTTTTTCTTAGCAGTGGGCAAGGTTATGATGATAATAACGAGCTAGCAGTCCGCCTACCTTATGGTAAGCAATCGGCGCTGAACATCCGAAACGCCAGATTCTTTACAAGTGTGTTGCTGACCTTTTCGGGCAATTTGGCCTCTGGTGATCTCACTTCCACGGCGAAATACAACACATCACTCCGGTCGAACCGGCCCATTCATGCCGAAGCATGGCTCTCCCACAGTTGTTGGTGATAGTATTACGAATAATGCTAAGTTTGAAGAGGTTGACGTTACATAGGTAAGAGTTTGTATAAGTTTTCGGAGTCGTGTAATAGTAGAGTGAGACAAATGCAAATGTAGGGCCACTTTAATTTGTGCCTAGTTTCGTCATATCAGCCAGTGTCAGATCTGACAACACATGCAGCTCGCACTTTCGTTGGGAAATGGTCTTAAGTTAGATGTAATATGTACATACCTCTATGATGTACCAGTTATTGTACAGATATGTCTTTCGCTGAAGAGTAGGCATATTTTAAAATTGCAGGAAAATTGTTGTCCTAATGTTTTTGCTTGTTTTTTTACTAATATATTTACTAATCATTCGGCTGTCTGGGTAAAAATTGACAATATCAAAGTCTGGAATTAACATTTCGGGTGTGTCATCGGCAGGTGAACAACCGAGCGGGATGGAGCACATTGTCGGGAACAACGGAGCAAAGACGAGGATCCGAAAATTTGGGCTCCTACCAGGCTGGATATGGCGCAATGAAGTCGTCAACCTCTGAGCCCTATGCCTCATGGTATGTATAAAATGTTTTTACTGCTTTCTTGCAGGCACACTGCTTCCGGCTTAACCAGTTTGTAAGTTTCTGGGATAAATTGATGCTCTTTTGTTAATTGAAGATACTTGTCCTAAGTGAAGTTTTATGCACTACACAATAATACACGAAAAAAACATATTTTTTTATACAACCCAAGATATAAAAATAAACAAGTGTCTGAGACAACAGTCTAAAAATGCAAACTCCAATTTATTTCACGATTTTTTGCGCCTCTTGACACACGCTTTGATGCGGCTTGCCAAAGTTTGCGTCTTAAGACGGGGTGAGCGTCGTTTCACGTTGTTGAAAGTGGTGTTTAATACCAGTATCGATAAGGTACAAAGTGCTTCAGCAGTAGAAGACTACTTGTAAGATGCTGTGTTCATTATAGGGTCATCAGCTGCGTTGCTTATCCGATCTATTGGTGCTGGTGGCTTGATTGCTTGCTGCTGCTGCTGGTTGGTTTGGGTCGTTCGTATTATTTGCGGTTTCTTAACTTCTCACTTATAACATTCCTTTCGTACATGTGTCTAACACGTTTGCAGTGTAACAAACTGATTCGCAAACCTCTGCCAGGTGGTGCTTCTAAGCACAGGGCGCATTACGAGGCCAGGCGAAGCAGTAGACTCTATGTAACAAAGTACGAAATAAAATTTCCAGGAACGAACAGTTGCAACCGTGGAAAGAGTCGGTTGCAGCCCGAAACAACTTGGACACCCGCGATCTATCGCAAGTGGGCGTATCCAGTCCACCGCCGGATATAAAGAACCTCACCATAAAAAAGAAGAATGGATCAGATGAGGATTCTTGGGATTGGCTTAACAACTAAGTAACCAAGGTATACACCACGCTAGAACATCATGCCTGAATGTGGGTCGAAGTTACATGTCTTCATTGCAGTACTAACCCGACTAGTATCACTTCACGATCGTCATCCATTCTTACCTTGAATGGGATCTCCCTATAGTCTCGTAGCTGTCCATATATAACCAAATAACATCTATGTAATATATCCATAAAATATACGAGTATTTACTATATGTATGTATATACTAATGTGTCCATATGTTGATCGTTGTTAACCCTGTCTTATTTGGGATTGGTTTCAATAGTCGTCCGGTTCATTGTGGTTTGGTGTTGGGCTGTGTGACGTGGCTTTCAAAGCCTATTTCACAAATGGCTTCATTTTTAAAGATTTCCCGATACTTACAATGTTTTGATGATTCCTTTAAAGCTGTGTGATGCTTTGTTCACTATTTGATTTGGGTTTAAGGAGGCGACAATATTACATTTTGTAAATAAGGTTTAACTTTGCCAACGAGGCAATTTGACCTGCATACTATTCTTAGTATTGGCAAATAGTTTATTACACAAATATATGGTTAGATAAGAAGATATTTTACGTAGAATGACACATAAACTAAACAAACACATTTTTCAAAATTATTATACCTGCATAGTTTGCAGATGACTTTAAAATATTTATCTTCTTTAGAGTTTCATGTTGGTTATTAAATATATTACCAATAATAAATTATTCTTCTTTCTTCTTGACGTAGGTACTTTTGTTTAAATTTATTTAATAATATTCCTCAATCTTTTTTCCTAATTATTTTTTTTTTTTTTTTTTTTTTTAAGGGGGGAAAATCATCGAATGACTGCCCCCGCCTGGGTGAGGCGGGAGGGAGTGTCAGACTCTTACTGACTAAAAACCACCCCGTTCCTTCTCCTGCACGTCGAGCCGGAGCCCCGGTTACCCGTTAGGTTCTCCGCGACTCCGAATCGGCATCGGCCCTATTGGGCCCCATCTGTGGTGGTCTGATGGCTCTTTGAGGCGCGCGCGGAACGCGACGCGCCGTACGCTCGGGTCTGTTTCTGGTCGGACGGGGAGCCACCCATGCTCGCCGTCCGCAGGCCCGCGCTTACGGTGGCCGGAGATCGTCCCGCGATCCCCGACGCCCGGTGTGTCCTTCGCGATGGCTGGGTTGCGAGGAGGCAGCGCTTCGCTGCCTCACGCGTCCCGCCTCCTCCTTAGCTAGCATGACTGCTTCGCAAAAGGAGGAGACGGCATCCCAATCCCCCTCGCTCCGCATCATGGCCTGCACTAGGCCCGGACGCGAGAGGTCGCCATCGCCGATCACTTCCCTGAGGACACGGCGGTGCTCAGCCCACGAAGGGCATTCTCCCACCGTGTGTTCCACCGTGTCCTCAGGGCGGTCCTCGCAGTGATGACACCCGGGCGTTTCCTCCCGCCCCATCAGACACAGGTACCTCCCGAAACTTCCATGTCCGGTGAGGACCTGCGTCAGGCGGTAGGTGAGGACGCCGTAGCGTCTCTCAAGCCACTCCTCAAAGAGGGGACTTACCGCTGCGATGGCAGCGAGCCCAGCCCTCGGTTGCGACAGTCGTTGCTGCCATTCCGCCATGAGATCGCGCCGGAGCTCATCCCGCCACGCACTTATCTGGCGCGGCAGCGGAGTTTCGCCCCGGCGACGTGCCTCCGCGCGCATGCTGTGCACGCGCGCGAGCACCTTCGCCTCCAGATCCCACGGCGGTAATCCGGCAAGGAGGTTCGCCGACTCCCCAGAGATCGTGCGGTATCCGCGGATCATTCGGATCGCCATGACCCTCTGTGCCATGAGCAGCGTCCGAGCGGGACGCCGCAACAGGTTAGGCGCCCAAACAGGGGCGCCGTAGAGGGCCATGGACCGCACGACCCCGGCGTATAACCTCCGGCAGGAGGCGTTTGGCCCCCCGAGGTTGGGGAGGATGCGTTTAAACGCAGCCCCCGTCCTCTCCAACTTTGGAGCCAAACGTCGGAAGTGTTCAATGAAGTTCCACCGACTGTCGAGGACGAGTCCTAGGTACTTCATCGTCGTCTCGACGCCGATGGTAACTCCTCCCGCCGTTATTTGGGACCCACCCGGAGGTGGCGCGTTCCCGCGGCCATGAAAACACATGGCCTCGGACTTGTGGAGCGCCACCTCGAGTCCCAACTGCCGGATTCTCTCAACGACTGTCGCAACCGCTGTCGCCATTAAGTCGGCCGCCGCCTGGTGTGACCTCCCGTGCGCTAGCACCAGCGTATCGTCGGCGTAGCATATTGTGCTAACGCCGTTCGGGAGGTCGGTGCGCAGCACCCAGTCATAGCCGATGTTCCACAGGAGCGGCCCCAGAACCGAACCCTGTGGAACACCGCGTGACATCTCTCGCCGGTTCCACTCGCCCCGGTGACCGGGGTAGCTGACGGACCTGTCCGTCAGGTAAGCCTCGATTACACGACGGAGGTAGGTAGGCACCCGATGATATCGGAGTGCCTCCAAGATGCAGCTCCAGGGCAGGGAGTTGAAGGCGTTGGCGATGTCCAGAGACACCGCCACTACGACCTTACCCCTGGACACTGCAGTCCCCGTCGTGAGGTCTCTAACGCGCATGATGGCGTCCACCGTGGAGCGCCCTCTGCGGAAGCCGAACTGGCCGTCCGACAAGTCCGGCCCAATGTCCGTCAGGTGCGCGACGAGGCGGTTCGAAATGATTCTTTCGAAGACTTTCCCCACCTCGTCGAGCAACACTATGGGCCGGTACGCGGACGGAGAGTCCGCAGGGCGCCCCGTCTTCCGCACGAGGACCAGTTTTCCCGCTTTCCAGAGAAGCGGGAACTGGCCTCTCTCCAGACATGCGCTGTAGAGACCAATCAATCGAGGCCCGAGAGCCTCTGAGGCCAGGACCCATGCCTTGCCATGCAGGCCGTCGGGTCCTGGGGCGGTGTTCTTGGCGCCCATCCGGCGCACCGCCGCTCTCAATTCTGCCTCGGTCACCTCTGGGACGATGTCGTCGTCGTCGTCGCTGTAGCCCGCGTCGGGCACCGCAGGGGGCGGAGTCATATACGGAGGGGTGAACCCCCTCCACAGTCGAGGGAACAGGGTGCCAATCACCTCCTCCAAGACTTCTTGCCGGAGACTCTGGGTGAGCGGGGGAGCCCAGGCGCGGAGCTTGTCGCGTACCATCCGGTACGGGCGTCCCCACGGATCTCTGTCCAGAGTCCCCAGCATCTCTCGGCGGGCCTCCTCCTTGGCCCGCAATATCTCCACCTTGAGGAGGGCCTTGGCCGCCCTGTATCCCTCGTACAACTCCGCCTCTCTCGCCTCCGCATTAGGAGGACGGATGCGGCGCCTGCGGTGCCTAGTGTACTGGCGTCGCGCAGCAGTGCACGCCTTGCGTAGAGCTGCTAGCTCTTGCGACCACCAGTACACCTGGCGCTTTTGTTGCCTCGACCGGATCCGGGGCATCGCCACGTCACAGATCCTGGACATGGCGTCCTGGAGCCACTTGGCCTCATCGTCTATGTCGGCAGGCCTGACCGGTGGTATCACCCAGGCCTGCACGATGGCGGCTTCCAGGAGCAGCTCCCGGTCCAGCTGTTTCAGCGCCCAACGCGGGCCACATGGGGCCTGTCTGACCGGCGGGTCTGCGGACTCGGCGGAGACGTCGAACCGGATATACCGGTGGTCGGAGTACGTCTCCACCTCCTCCATGACGCGCCAGCCAACAATACGCGGTGACAGAGCAGGGCTGGCGAACGATATGTCCACCACCGACTCGCCCTGCATCCGCACACACGTGGGGACAGAACCCCGGTTCAGGACGACTAGGCCTGTCTCAAGGGCCCAGTCTTCCACCATCCTACCCCGGACGTCGGTGTGTCAATAAAAACTTTTGTTACCAGCCCATTAGCTTGCTTTCACAGACATACAATTCAAACAAACTATAAACTAATACTTTTCAAAAGTGCTTACCAATACACTTACAAGGAAACTGGACTTCTATCAACCAAGAGAGCAAGCAGGGTTTAGGCAGGGATACAGCACGCTTGATCACGTTTTAATGATGAGGGTGCTTATAGAGAAATGTACAGAATACAAATTCCCACGCTTTCATCCACTATAAAAAGCTTTTGATAGCGTGGAGACATGGGCCGTTTCAGAAATACCACGAAACGCTAGAGTTGATTACCGCTATATCAACATCATAGAAAAAAATCTACAAAATCGCAACTATAAACGCTGCTCAACCTCACCTCATCACACTAATAAAGATCCAAAGGGGTGTCAGGCAGGGAGATTCTATCTCACCTAAACTGTTTTCGGTGGTCTTGGACCATGTATTCAAGAAACTCAACTGGAAGAATAAAGGCCTTTTAATATCAGGTACTCGGCTATCTAATCTTCGAATCGCCGATGATATTATGTTTATTGCTAGTGATCCAGAAGTTTCAGACCATGGTATATGATCTACATGAAGCATCGTCAGATGTAGACAATGACGAACCAACATCATGACCACGGATTATGCAAGCACAGCTAGTATTAGTGCGAAAGGTACAATGTACAATGAAGTTTACACAGTTTTGACATACCCTAAAATAAACCCTGTGCAACTGCTAAACTAGTAATGCAACCTGATAAAATTCCTAGAAGAAACATTGGGTGTTATAACCTTAATTAATAAAATCGGCGACAAAAATATTTAAGACTTTCAATGAAGAAGTAATTTTGTTCTTCATAACATAGCATAACACAAAATCACGCCCATTATCCCTGAAGGGGTAGGCAGAGGTGCACATTAGGGCACTTAATGCCACTGTACAATGTAACACCCACTTTCCACTATTTATGGGGTACGCCTATTGCCATATACCGGACACAATTTCAGACTCCGCGATACTATTGTGATTTTTTTTAAAAACCCAGTAGTACTTTTTCCGTCTCGGGATTCGAGCCAGATACCCCTTATCCGGCTGTTGCAAACGACCACTCGGCTAACGAAGCAGTCTGACTTGATTGAGACTTTTTTCTAATGCGGACTAACGCTGGATAAAAAAGTGTCCAAGATTGCTAAAACCTTCAGTTTGTATGTCTTGCGATTCATTTCCACTGAAATAAAATAAAAATGGAATATTGTACTTACTTTTGAGCAGAAACCAGAACCTTTATAATATTTTTGTATCAGATATTTACATAAATCGATGAACCATTAGGTATATATTTAATATATTGTAGTATATTTTTGATATCATAATTATTATAAATTAATAAGTATTATTATAATATTTTATACCATTTTTTAATATATTGACCCTAATAACTAGTTTTGTTATAGAAAATGGCTATCATTATTAAAAGAAACAGCATATATTATTTATTTACAAGAATCTATAAAGAAGTACAATTTATGTTTTATATTAAAGGATTATAATGGTTTTAAAACTTTAAAGAGATAGGAATTTACGGATTCAAGGTGCTAACGATCACCATATATTTACTTCCTGTATAAAGAACGCATTACAATGAGTCCAAACACGATGCTTCTGTTATAATATGCTGATCAGGAGTTGAGTATTCTGCAGGTTACAGTCCTGGAATACCATGTGTCTAACACTCTCCTGGCTCAAACACCAGGAGTCAAAAACATTCCTTTTTAGTCTTCCTAGTAGAAAACAAGACCGATCCTTTAAACATATTGGAAAATGAGTTAGTAATATTTTCCGTAACGAAACTAGTAAATTCTCCACTGTATAATATGTATAATGCCCATTCATTTTGAGATTAGCTGCCAAGTCCCGATTCTATGCAAAATCTACATAATAATTGGGTACTTGCCGACTAGTCAAATTCAAGACTGTTTTCGAACTGTCAAAGTTTTCTATGAATTTTGTACAAGATTGTGTATTGTGACGTCACGTTTTTTTGGCGTCAAACAGCACACTTATTTCTTAAAAAATTGCTGGAAATATACTAAAATTACGTTGGTCACAAAATCTATGGAAGTGTGATTATTTTTTAATATTTTTTGTATTGAACAGTCGAAATAATTTATTTTTGTTTAAGAAAAGTACCCAATTATAGCTTGCCTAATAATATTAAAATAACATCCATTAGAATATTAACCTTACCTTATATTCAGATTTTATAATAAACCCAATTTATAGCTCAGTTAATTTCTATCATGTCTGTAGATATGTAGTTCTTATGGTACATGTAGATTTAGCTAAAACATAGTCGTAGCATAACTATAGTTACCAATAGCGCTTGCAAAACACTAGTCTAGTTAAACTAGGTACTTCATTTTAAATTATCAACATAAATATGCGTCACAATTTAAGTAACAGAACATCACTTCAAAATACCATTACTAAATAAAAATATCGAAGTATTTCAGTTTGTATACAGGGTGTTTCTGAAGTTTACGATCAAATGGCACCAGATGATCGGCATGGTTCCAACAGTTATCAGAAAAATATAAAATCATCCAAGTCATATAGTTATAACTAGCTTTTCGCGGCGGCTTCGCTCGCGTCACAAAAGGATAAAAAGTAGCCTATGTGATATATACCAATACACACAGCGCCATCTATACCAATACTTTTGTTTTCCCTCGGGAATATCAAAATTTTCCGGGATAAAAAGTACCCTATTATTTAATCCGGACTTTCAACTTTACGTCTGCTAAATTTCAAAGCAATCGGTTTAGAAGTTACGGCGTGAAAGCGGAACAAACAAACAAACAAACTCACTTTCCCATTTATAATAGTAATGGATATAACAATGACAGCACAGGCTGTGAGAGCCTTAGTTTAGGTTGCTGCTATAATTCCTTAATTTTTCGTCTGCATTTTTGGTTACGTTATTATTAGTAGTGCTCCAGTATTATGGAATTATTTTAGTTTGGAAAAGGAAGTCCTTTATAACGAACAATCCGTCTTGCTTGGCTTGTGGACCACTTGGTCCCATTTGATCGTCGACATCACCCTGCCCTATATATTCACAAAGTAGAATAAATTGTCATATGGTTTATTAAAATTAAGAGTTGAAACTAATAATGTGTTATACCTCTATTTATACGTATAAATATATTTTACTAACTTGAAAACAATAAATGGATCCTCAGATATTGGTGATAAATATAATTATGCTCATTATGTTAAAGATGAATTGATTGATTAGATTGTTCGGTTCGATTCTCATGCATCACCGTTTCGTATACGTATATTATTATTGTCAATCGGTCTTAACCGCAGAACTCTACTGCAGGAGTATGACCTTTCCAACATTAATGGAGTTTGCCGTAATTTCTAGTCTTGAAGATGGGTTGTAGATTCCAGTATAAGAGTTCAGGTCGTTCAGAGAACGCTGCTGTCCAGTCCCTGTTAAACATGTAGACCAGACTTAGCGGGTTGCCGGGGCTTCGGTTCGAAGAGCAGGAATAGGAACGGGATAGATTTTAGTTAGTAAGCATCTGATATATATCGCTTCATTCAAGACGGTGGAAGCTGTTGAATGATTTTCCCTTCTTAGAAAGACCCTTTGTCTGCTATTTTGACACACTCGGCAAATTAATGGTGCACCACGTAATAGTGAGTCGGGGAAACAACGTTCTGCAAATCTGAATGTATTTTTTTTAACTCAATGTATTTGTTTTTTATTGTCAATGCTAATGTCTGCTAAACAACAATATATATATTCATTCATATGTATGCATTTTTACCTTAATAATAAGATTAATGATTACACTATATAGGTGTATAATATACATTGCACTAATATTATTATTAATATATTATTACACAATCCATTTACTACTAACAGTGGCTTAGTATAATTTCTGAAATAGTTTTAGATGCAATTGTGTGCATAATTTCAGATGTAAAATCTTTTGGTATATGTTTAGCGAATGTAGTAATCTACAATAGGTGAGATTGCTATTTTCTGATTTTTAATTCTGATGAAATTGAAAAGAATTCAAACGGTGTCAAGTAATACAAACCTCACAGGGCCAGTTCCAGTAAATCATATTTGTAGATTTGGTTCCTAGATAATTTTGACTTAAACTGTACAAAATGTGTCATGATTATATCTCTGGTAAAAAATGTATAGATAGATAGGTGGGTGATTCTCCAAAAAAAAATTAACGGCGTCATTATCCTTAAGCCACAGTTAACAATTCTGCTGATTAATATACAAAGTTTAGTTTCAAAAAATTGAGCCATGTCACTGCTATCACCCAATGCAATAAAATATAGATGCTAATAAGTCACCGCGATGCTTAACAACGCGTGAGGATAATGATTTGTTAAATAAAAGTTAAAGTTTTTTGAAGAAACACTCAGGTGATTCTGATTGTGAATTCGATGGCAGACAATAGAATATGGTGATAGGTTGACAATAGGATGCAGTACCGATGCAAAGTGGGTGTTATGTTGTATATATCTCCTTTAAATAGCCATGCATGTAAGTACAGGCTATCTAAGTATGTACGACTCTGTTTTTGTCTTGTCGACTTTATCTGTCAAAGTTTTTACTGTAGTAACATAGTTCTAAGTTGAGAAAATACATGAACTCATTTTTCCAGCCTACCCTTTCTTATCTCAGTTTCTTTGGAGAGTAACATTTATGATGTTAGGTAATTGAAATGATTTATCTTTAGGTAAACGTAATAGAAATTTTCACTGTATAGCTTCAATTGGTTAGGAGACAAACTTAAAATTTGAATATTAATGAATAATAGAAAACAAAAGGTTTTATAGTTTTTGGAAAATAGTTCGTTATAACTAATTTATTTTAAATTAATTACCATCTTAGTATATTTATTATAATATCTATTAGTCTTTTTACTGTTTGTCTTAGCTAGCGGCCAGTTCTGGCTCACCATTCGATTATTTTAGCAGATTTTACCTTCTACTGGCAAATGCGAATATTGCGAATGTAACATAAAAACATAACATAACATCACGCCTATTATCCCGAAGGGGTAGGCAGAGGTGCACATTATACCACTGTACAATGTAACACCCACTTTTCACTATTTATGTCACGAGTCCCATGTAATAGGGGGTGAGCCTATTGCCATATACCGGGCACAATTCCAGACTTCGTGCTACTACTGAGAATTTAAAAAAAATTCTATTGCGAATGTAACAAAAATAATATTATTAAAATAATATTATTACTATAGATCTGGTAAAAATTGATAATAATTATTATTTCTAATTTGGTGCAGTTCAAAATAGAATACACAATATTACGTTGTATCGACGCAACACATCTACGATGCTTAATACAATGAGAGCTACCATTTTTTTCTTACCAGTTAGCGCTTTAATGTACCGTGCTGTTTGGTTGACTAATAGGTACTTAGCTAGTGTTCACCATTGGTGCACAATGCAGAACTACAGTGATCGTACGAAGTGGTCTCAGGCTACATTAGCGGTATATAAGTATCCAGTGAGCAAAAAATTAAAGCTTTCATTGTGTTACACGGTGTCGTAGATTGACATAACCTATTGTTTTTTTATCCTGGCCCTTAGGATAGCATTTAGGCATTGCATTATTATATATACATAGATTTACTAACCAAACTCAAGCTAATCTGGTTTTTATTTCAGGGTTTAAATGTCGTTTATATGTCTATTTTTTCAGTTGTTTTGTGCCAAATATAGTTAATTCGTGTAACTAATATATTTTTTATCTTATTTCAGTTTCCAACCAGAGTAAGGCTGCGGCGACAAGGAAGCTGCCAGTTTATTTTCCACGTCACACCTTGATGATTTTATAATCTGTGTCAATGTTTCAACCACATAGTTCAATTAGCCTTTTCATTTGTTGTAACTAATGCTCCCATATACTAGGTATTACAATTTGTAAAGGGCTAACCTTATACCTACGTAGTAGGATTGTATTGAAATGAATGTATTGTCCATCTTTTAAGGGAAGACGAAGTATTAACTGCTTAAAAAACTAAAGTCCTGTTATAAGGTTGACAGTTAAAAGGCTGTTTGGCTAGTTGGCTGAAGCTAATGTAGAATCTATGCGAATGTAAATTAATTAAATTACAGTACTGCCTCAACTACGTATGAAACAATAGGTACCTATAAACAATAAAAAGCAAAACAAAATGATTAACTAACATCATTGCTTGGAACAGAAACTTTGCAACTGAACCTGGATAAATGATTGGAATATACTTACGGCTTAATCACGTGAGGTGTTTCAATCAATTTCAACAATATGGATGCTAACAGCACTGAAATGGATTAAACTAAACTTAGAAAGCGCTCTAGGCAAGTACATCTTAAGCACAACAAATTTTTTGAGCACCGCCTGTCACTCTGTGACCACGCACGTCTCGCGGCGTTGTGACGCCCCTCTGCAACATGGGGCCCTAGGCACTTACCTAGTTTGTCTAAGCGATAATACGGCTTTGTAAAAGCAGTGGAGGTGACTCAATATTTATCAGTCTTTTTGAATTTACAATCGTATAGATTTCATATACGTTCTCGATTATATAGTAATTCGTTATACAATGATGCTATTGTCACATACAAAGTTATACGCTTAAAGTAAACTTTGCGATGTATTCGGAAATACTTTGATTAGAACATTCCAAAGTAACTGCTGGTTTCTTATGTTATTTGCAACAAATTTTTAACATCTTATGAAACCACGGATGTTTATGTATTCGAGGCGATCTCTAAATTGTTAATTGGACGAATGTTAATTTTTTTATTGCATTGCACGGCTACTGCGTCTAACGTCTAAGTATGAGTGAAAAGCGTCATTGTAAATCTAATTACTGATTTAGAACAAATAATTATTTTATTTAATTGCCTGATTATTCGTTTTTGTACTTGGGTGTTTTATAATTTTGTTCTTTAATTAGAAAGTGTGATGTGGTCATTCAGTCAAACGTCAAATAACTCAAATACGGTGTCCATGTAATTCCCGCCATTTTGATGTAATGACACTTCGTCCTAAAACAACACAAGGGCTCTTGAATAATCTGTGGTAACAATTTCTAACGTTCTATTTTTTCCGGTACAAATGCCCCTTGGACGAAGTCAGCTTTAAGAGCTTTACTGGCCTTACCTTGCGTAGCTTTGGCCTATATTAATCACTTGTTAGTATTTAAGGTGTAAGAATGGTTATTTGGTGGATGCACGTTTTATACCCGCGTGTGGAGTGATTGAAAGCCTAGGCATTATATTTAGCCTTTTTTATTGGAAGCCGTTGATTATTACATACATTAGGTTTTTGTCTGCAACTGATGCGTTTAACATATCAAATCATGTTCGACGCATGTGCGATGCAGCATAATAGTAAATACTGGTTGCATTAGTATGAGCCCAATAAAAGAAGGTTTAAGTAATTATAGACGCGGGAAGTTTGAACAGCCGCCCCACAATGAAACGCATTTAGATATGAATGACTTAGACAATTTTAACGTACCAATCATTTTTAGATTAACTCGGCATACCATATGCTCCGTATCCCGTCTACAAAGACGTTTAGCGTAATATTGTTTAGTAAAATTTATTTGCAATCTCTCAATTTTTATTTTTTTATGCTCGGTTACGTTCTCCTACGTTTCTGATTATTGTTGTATTAAATCCAAAGTTGCCATTCGATGTCGGTAGATGAGTCTATACTTAGTACTACCTTTTGTAATATTCTGCCTGTCTCTTACCGTCCTGTTTACGAACTATAAATAAGTGTTTTTCTAATCTTCTTCACATTTGTCTATCGACATCGATATAGCCTTATCCACGCTGAATTTACGCACTAAATGCTGTACAAAAATAGGGATATATTTAGGTAGCTGGAGATTGCACAGCTGGATGGGGCTTATTATTATTCCATTTATTTTTAACTTTGATTATATTTGAAATTATTTTTAGTGTCTAGTTATACTTTGTCGTATTTTTTCCTATATTTTTGTAATTAAGATCAATATGTATTTGTAAAATTATGTTATGTACAAAAGTAGTACCTACCTATTGTTGTTTATATTTTACTTTTAAGGTTTGTACGGTATGTGGGCTCGCTGTGGGCTGGATTACGATAGTAATTAAATTTGATTCATTCAATATTAATAAATGTAGATTAAAACAATTTCTGTTTTATTTTACTTATATCTAATCCATTATGTCCATTACATACAGTTTCCGATATCAGTTTTAAAGTAGTCGGTTAGTCCCTGCTGGGTTAAGGCCTCTTTTTATAATATGGAAGGTGATAGCATCAAGCATCTCCACCATGCTCGTAGTTTCTTATAACTGATGAATTTTTAAGTATAAATTCTCACCTTCATCGTAATTCAGTGTAGACTACATAATCTTATTTATTATGATCCTTGCGATAACATCAGCAATCTGTCTTCAGAAACATGTTGGCTTCTATGTTATTATAATCAATTCCATATTATCGAATGTTTGACTAAACTAGTTTAACGTGGAGGACCGAAGTAGATGTCTTGCGGCCTGATGATTTGCAGTGAAGAAGTTAATATGTAACAGAGTTTCTAATACATATATAGCAAGTAATCACGACAGATATTACCTTAATAAAAATCACCGTCAGTATGTTTGTAATAACTGTTATTGAAATGTACACTATACATTAAACTCATAGTGGTGTAGATATTGTAGCCAAAGCTCGTGACAATATTTTATACACAAGTAGCAAATAAATTGATTTCATTATATATATAAGTAATATGTAGAAAATGATTATGGCTGCTTGCGTCTGATTGTTTTTCTTGAGGGTAAAAGAAAGGGTTTTTGGGAGGTAAAAACCCCATAAAGTGAAAATAAAATAATAGATAAGTAAAGTATCCACAGAAATAAAACAAATAATAGAATAATATAAGAATATCTTTATTATTTACTTGATTACGAATTGGATGTAGAATTTTATACAATTTTAGTACAATTAAACAAATCTTATTCTGAATTACTTTCAAATCCTGCATTCATTTACCTACTTTTAGAAATTAACTTACGATTGGTATGACGGATAGTAACAGATTTTAAATAGCTAAAATGCATTAAATAAGTTTAAAACAGCAGTATTAAATAATTATGAGTTTTATCGTGCATAGTATAAATAGTTATCAACACATAGCTACCTACAAAGATTCTACATGTGGATTGCTAATAACAAAATATGCATACAACGCCGATTATTTAATACAAAACTACCCATAAAAACGTTAAAAAGACCCGAATAAAATAGCTTACAGTAATAATAATCAACATATTATTGTTAAAACATTCCTGAATAGTAAATAGGACAAACAGTAACCATTTATTTGAGTTTAAAAGACTTTAAATACCTAATTAAAGTCACTTTTACTTTTAACAGATGTATAGAGATCTCCACAAAAATAGATTAGCATTTACACCGAGTATAACGTAAACCACGATAAAGCGTAATAACAATTGAGAAAATATTTAGTTTTTATTTCGCCGTATTATTTATACAGTATCAACAACTCCTGAGGATGCTTTGTCGAGGAGCGAAACATGTCGAGTGCTGTTCGAATGGTTTGTTGCGTGCCGTGTGTGTTTTATATCGCATCGCTGCTGCATGAGCATTTATTTAAGGGGCGGGGCGGTACTGCACACCGCATGCTGCAGATTCATTCTTATAGCGGAATAAAAAATAAATATTTCCCCAGTTCTCTTCTATACAACAAAACTGTAAACAATGTAGGCCTGAATTTAAAAATTCAGGGTCAATGACCTTTATGTCAGCATAACGGTCAGTAACCCTGACTTTTGTTCTCGACTCTATACAGACTCGAGAATAATTTTATACATAATCAATTCCTAGAAAAGGCTAACTTCTATTAGTCCACAGGAACTTGACATAATTCTATCTATTAGTAACTCAATCATAATTTAATTCCAATATCCATCACCGTCTTGTCCACCATTTATTGACTAATATAATTTGCTTATGGGCTACCTTAATTACCTATCTGTTATATCATTCGTGAGATAGAATTTTAACGGTTTAAAAAAATATAGTAGGTCGAGCTTTATTTCACTGTATTTTGTATGGAGCATAAGTTGAATGAACCGGCTGCACTTTGTGTAATCCACAAATTGTTATTTCGGTTCTGGGTGTCATGTGTATACAGTTTATAAACATACCCACGACACAAGATAAAATTCTATCATGTTATAAAATTAAAGTAAAATAAAAATAAAAATTCTGTCTCAAGTAGCAATATCAACCGACAGATAAGTTATTGGCTGGCTATTAATTAAGAAATATCATTAATGATTGTTAAACATCATCATTAAACTATTTATAAATGTATATAAGAGATATTTAAATACAACATGTTTAAATAATACTCTTAACATTATATTGATAACAGCTGTTACCAAAATGTTACCAAGTTATATACATATGTTAAATAATCACAATAATTTATTGCTGTAGAAATATTTATAATAGATATAATTAGGTATCTATATAATATATTATTGGAATGCCAAGATTATATTCTGATTACTTATCTTTATTATTAATATGTAATATGAAACAATATAGCTCATTATAGTACAGACTTACAGAGTAGACTTTGTTTATATATTAAAATACGTATCTTTTTCTGTAGCTTGGTAATGTTATTTTTGGTTAATAATCAAATAATGGGTTTCAAAGTTGGAGATATATCAATTTTCACACATACCTGTTACTGTTAGGTAAAATCGTAGTTAAGTATACATGAGGTAAATTACACATTGAATTGAATTACACAGACTTAGGACAATATCTGTTGGTTGAAGTATAATAAATTACTTTTTTTACAATTTACATAATGAAGTTTATCTATAAATACAAGAAATATAACATTACATCAACATATTTTTGTCAATTACGAAAATTGAAAAATAAATATCTACTCTATTCACTAACTTGTTACTAAAATCTACCTCAGCCTCGCAAAACCAAAAGTACCCAAATATAAATCTTTAGATATAAAAAGCAAGACTAAATTGTATAGGTATTTGTGAAAAATATTAATATTTTAACTAACTATTGATTTTCGATTTTAGAATTTAATAATATGTTTCAGCTAGAGAGCCTCATCAAGGCCTATGACCAGCATATTATTATGCAGCTTAAATTAGTTAAGCCACAAATAATATTTAGTTTAGCATGACTGCAACTCTGCAGTCAGATCTAGGATGCTTCAAATTAGCTAATCTGAATGAGATCTATATTCAACAGATGGTATCTTATTTGTTGCTGGGATGATATCTCTGCATAGTTATTGAACATATTTTATTAGCACTCTTCATAAATAGGACAATATATAAACTCTTCAGGTTTACCATTTCTATTACAATAAAACAGAATTCTAATGCAAAAATGCTAATTAACAATCATTACATCAACAAGGATATATTATAACAGCAGAAACACAAAATGTAAACAACTAAGTAGGTAACATTGGCAGCTAATGTTTGAACAAAACTTTAGTGAAGTCAACATGATGTCACAAGTACATCAAAACATATAACTATGAAAGACAAATGTACAAGTTATGATATAGGGAATATGAAAGAATCAGCTGTTAACTCGTCGAGTACCGGTTTTGTAGACACAATTATAGAACAATAGGTTGCGGTCACCGGTGACCCCTTGGTGTATTTGACAGCTTAATGGTGATTTGATTTTTGTATAGAATAGTAATTAAGATGGCACAAATAAAGAGTATATAGTTGTAAAAACAGAATGTTATATAAATGTAGACAGTTGATACTTTTTCTGTATGAGGTAAAATTTTAAGTAGTTATCAGAAAATATCTTCTTAGACATACACTCTAGATGGAGCGGTTGCACGGATTGTGTAAAAGACAAGTCATGTATAAACACTACACTATTGTGTTTTCTTATGTATTGTAAATTTTTTTTAACATATTTCTATTTGTAAATAATCTTATACTATTATATAAGCTGAAGAATTTGTTTATTGCTTCAAATTGTACATTTTGTGTAGGAAATCAAGAAAGGCTACAAAACATCACGCTACGATTAACAGGAGCCGAGTAGAGTAGGTGCAACTGCATAGGAGTAGCTAATATTATAAGTTAAAATACTAAGACGACTATACAACAGGTGGCAGGTTGTTGTGCTGGCTGATTTTGACAATCATGAATATATTCACTAGAGGTCAGAACACACAATGTAAATACTACTATACTGAGCATGATTGTTGATATTAGATATATATTAATGAACACAAATGAGAAAATAATCTCAAAGTTGGAGACTTCCAATGTACATAATTATGGAATATACAACTGATTTTCACAATTATGTAAATATATATATGATTGTAGTGAACCAACACATCATATCCAAAGAAGGGCAAAAATGTTTATGTTACAATAGAAATCTGTTAACAACTCTTACTAACTGGAACTCTTCTTAACACATTTATCACAACGATGTTTTTTAAAAATACTATAAATTGTATTTGAATATTCAAAATTTACAGTTTATCTAGACAACTGTCAGCTACATGGCTTTTTGGAGATTAAAAAATTGCAGAAGTAGTGTACACATGACTGAAATTTTGTCCATTGCATAAATTGGTTTAACAATAGCTTCGAAGTCAAATTGTGGACAATATTCAGGGTCAATAAACTACAATATTGAATTCAACTGTCAACTTGCATACATAATATTAACAATATAGAAATGTATTCTTCACCAATTTGTATTGTCCGTAATACATTTAACCTTGACTTATGAAGCCCACATGTAGAAGTAAATGTCCTGCCAGTGACTGAGGTATTGAATGATTGGACCACAAATGAAGGACATGGCAGGTATCTTTGCTGACATAGAATTCAAACCATTTTCTATGACATTCTTTGAGTATCCATTGTACATTGGACTCCTCAAGAGATACAAGACTAAACTCAACTTTCTGCGACTTATTTCCAGCCGCTGATCATATGACAAGTCTTTCATGTATTTGCTATATAGTTTCATACTTGCCATATCCAAACAGAGGGCTACAATCCACTGCTTCCATGCTTTAGTTCCAAATGCTCTCATGGATGCCAAGTGAATTAAAGGCTTCATTATATGTAATGATTCAGCATAAATCAAGTCCTTTACGTTAGCGGCTGCTCCTGGTCTGTCATCCTGTATTTTCACAGGCTCCCAGTCACGGAAGGCTACTGCTGGTGACCCATCGACGCGTCGCACAAGGCGGCCTGATCTCCGAAGAGTGAAAAATGAATTAGAATTCTCATCAGTCTCTCTGCCTTCTGTAAACTTTTTCCTTTGTAGAACAGCTATCGGGGGGTGAGCTATTGGCAGTTCCTTGAATCTGAATAGCAGTACTAGAGCTGAAGAGCATTTAAAAACTTGCAGCAAAGTTGCTACAGTCCATTTCCCTTTTGTGCCCCATCTGTTTTTCACTAGAAGTTCGATAAAAACCTCACAGTAGTGAATGACTGTCAGCCACAGCTTGATCTGCTCTCGAAGTCCATAATAAGGTTCTCCAGTACCATACGCCTCCCTAATGAGCCTGTCGTTGAACAGAGACACGAGTTTAGAGAGTGAGTATACCAATTCCGATACTATGGGCGATTTGTTTATCTTCCCCGCCACGAAGTAAGAGGACCACGTCGCAACTGTTTCTACGTCCGTCACCAGTCCCGGATTATTAATTACCCACCGCTTGTAAATCGCATAGAATTCTTGTAAAGATAATGATTTACTCATTTCGATAGCAGGAAGTTTATTTCGTATCGCAAAATGAACAGTAAGTAATGTATGTGTTATTTGGTTAACACCATTAATTATGCTGGTTTTTGAGTAACAGAACTGAATTAAAGAATTGTTGATCAAAAGGCTCCACAACACCACACTAGAGCAAACTATTTGACTTTTGCCCCCAGTCGTTTCGTTACCTTTGTTGACAATGACAACGACATTTCGACATTTCGCCGATTAGTTTCCTTGACATTGCGTCACCAGTTTTAAAACAACAAAATAAATTTAAAACCTGCGCTTTCACAAGAAATTTTGTCAATAAGTTGATTTATTCTTTTTTAATTATCTACTATCTATGCGACTAATGTGTATAAATTGTACGATTTTATCTGAACTATTTTACACAATAGATGAATGTGATATCTGATCGCGTTTCTCGACGTACACTGTAACTATAGATTATCTGTGATACTGCAGGAGAGAAAATAATCAGTCAGTGAATATCAGTCTATGGGCATCAGTCAATCTATGGTGCACGCGTTAAACGCGAAGGTGAGTTTGGCTCTTGTTTTGATTATTTGAATCATAAAAAAGGACTTTTTTAGTGTAAGTGTACAAAAGGAGATATTAATACAGTATTGTGTGCGCAGGTAAATCTGGTTCCAACGTTTGGCAAAATGGACGGGGGTCCTCTGGATCACGATCCTGACCCCGCGATGATATTGGAGGGTAGACTTCAAGGCTTTTTCCCAGCCTTAGATGAAGAAGAAGACAAGAAGAAGACACTGTGGATGGGAGGCGTGCTCGAGTGCTTCACCACAGTATTTTCTTTATTCACCCAAAGCGACCAAAAGCCTCAAGGTTAGTCAATATTTTGTTTGTTTTGTAATGTTTGGACCCTATGCATTTCGTTCATAATAGATTTAGCTGCTAGCGCCAATTCGGAGAATCAGGGTTTTTCTAGATTTATTGATGTGTGATGCGCAGGTGATGTATTGCGTAGTTTGTTGTGTGGGTGGGAGGGAGTGAGAGATTTGAAGGTCGGGAGCGCGATGCATCATTGTAGCGAGCTTATACTGCGCGGGACCTGTCCTTGACCTATTTGCTCTACCTGGAAGTGTACTTGTTGAGCTGCTACCTATTATGTTACCCCTTAATTTAATAAAAGTGAGCTGAGTTTAATTCAGGTGGAAATATCTTTCCATCAAGTAAAGGTAGCATGAAAATGTACAGCTTATGGTTTACTAATATTTATTTACTTTATTGTTTGTTTTGTTTCCAATTTATTCTTAATATATGCAGCAATGCTATTTTTTTTTGTTATTTGCTGTTGTAATTTTGCATTGCTAGTGTGTGTCATGATGTATTGATTTTAAAGGATTACTAATTGAAAAAGAATTCTTATTAGAATCCAATTTGAAAATATACCTCTAAACCACTCCTACTTGAAACCCTCAAAATACATGTCTTATTAGTTAAAGATAAGGGAGACAACTTCCTAGAATTATGCTATCCAACCTTATTATTTAGTTTGCAAAGCATTAGATAAAGCAATACAACTCTGGACAATAGATAAAGGAATTTAGATTACTGCACCAGCATTTTACTATAATAATAGCTTTTTCATTCAACATACGCTTAGAGCTCAGCAAGCGACTATCATAGACAACACCATTCCTATTGTTCAGCAAACAAAGAAATTTATTGGACTCCAATGTTGGGTTTATTATTACAAACAAATCTGAAAGAGGGATCTGACCTAATTTTGAAGCGCTGGATATCCATGACCCTCTGAACTTTAAATATTTATAGAGCTAACTGTGCTATTATGATATGATTGATTTTAGCATCAAAATGGAGATGTCTTACTTTAATCTTTGACATTTAAATCCTGGGCAAAGCGAATGGTAGTTCTTACTAAGGATTTATGGAGTTTGGCTTGATTTAAACTTGACTTCAGCCCAGTGTCCACTAGGCGTAATTTAGCGTGCAACGCGGCTGAACGCAACATGTTGCTTGGTATGTTAGTTATTTTTTCAGAGCAACATTGTTGAGCATCAAAAATGTTGGTCGGTGAAGACAGGGTTGCGCAATTTTGCAAGGGAGGTTCACAAGGGGGAATAGTAAAGTTGAAATACATGTATGTTTGAATAGCAATAAAACAAACAAGCAAGCAAGCAAACTGTTCAAATGACAAGAGTTGCTCTGGCAACATGTTGCTGAAAATTGGTGCCATATGATACACAGTCAATTTGTTGCCTTTTTTATATGGGGGCATTATTGCCATGATACAGGTTAAGGGTCCACATTAGTCTTAAATGTGACTTATTCTTACAATATAGTCTAAGAGGCCTGGCTTGTGTTACATGTGACTTATTCTTACAATATAGTCTAAGAGGCCTGGCTTGTGTTACATGTGACTTATTCTTACAATATAGTCTAAGAGGCTTGGCTTGTATTACATGTGACTTATTCTTACAACATAGTCTAAAAAGCCTGGCTTGTCTTAAGTGTGATTTATTCTTACAACATAGTGTAACGCCCGAAACTGAATGGCCATTTTAAGTGTAAGTACTTAAATAAAGTGCTATCTTTGTAATTTTACAAAAATAAATTTAGTGACAGTACTATTCTTATTGCGACTTAAAATTGAGTGGAGTTTGAGTATTTGAACATAAGTCAAGAGACCTTGCTTGTTAAGACAAGCCAAGCAAGAGTAAGCTCTTGCAGACACATGTGACTTGAAGTTGCTACTGGACTTGTCTTGAAGACTTGAAGTCGGTCAATTTTCTTTTAAACTTGAACTTGCAAACTTGTCTTGGAGACTTGAACTTGGACCCGAAAGGACCAGAACTTTAAGATTTGAGGTTGACATTTTGTCCAGTTTGCCACTGGACTCTTTGTCTTGAAGACAAGAACTTGGCATCTTGTCTTGAAGACAGGAACTTGGCATCTTGTCCTGAAGACAAGAACTTGGCATCTTGTCCTGAAGACAAGAAATTGGCATCTTGTATTGAAGACAAGAACTTGGCTTCTTGTATTGAAGACAAGAACTTGGCTTCTTGTATTGAAGACAAGAACTTTGCATCTTGTCCTGAACACAAGAACTTGGCATCGTGTCCTGAAGACAAGAACTTGACATCTTGTCCTGAAGACAAGGACTTGACATCTTGTATCGAAGACAAGAACTTGGCATCTTGTATCGAAGACAAGAACTTTGCATCTTGTATTGAAGACAAGAACTTGGCATCGTGTCCTGAAGACAAGAACTTGGCATCTTGTATTGAAGACAAGAACTTCGCATCTTGTCTTGTAATCATTTATTTCAATTAGACAAGGAAGGCACTGTTGAATGTCAACAAAAGAAAGTTTATAGTGAAGCTATTTGCTGATTCCAAGTTGTAGATTTCTATGGAGAAGAACGAGCAAGAAACTCCATAGGTTACTCTTTTCCAATCATGTTCACAATACAATTCTCTAGTTACACAGTTTTATTGGTTCGATCGTGCGAGAACAATGTAACACCAAAATCCAAGCAAAGAGATCGAAAAAGAAAATAACCTTAAAAACAATAAATAATGCAGTCTGGAGCTGACCAGTTCCAGGTGACGGCGCTCGTTCACAAAAATGACACGTACACCAGCACCGCCCAACTCAACCGTATTGTATGGAATCGAGCGATCCACTGCACGCGCCACCGCCAATGAGATTTTCGAGTGAGCATGACAACTCCAAGCTGACATAAATGCATTCTACTAGTCTCATTTAAGATTAATTACAGGACATTCACATTTACAATGATTATGCAAGTTAAACAATATATTTACAACAAGGCTGTAAAATTTACATGTTTGGATTTCATTTAAACATCAATGTGTTTCGTTCTCCTATGGAGGTGGACTAGCCTGCATTCAAGCATTTTTATCCATAAAGTAATCGCCAATCTCAAAATTGGCTGATTTAATCTATTCTCATGTCTAGTTCGATAGTGGTGTCTGTCCGATACTTTACCAAATAACTGTGGGTTTTTCCTAATATAAATGATGTTTTCATAAATAAATTGACATGGAACGGCACTGACATCTTGTCAGGACGACCAGAATTAAGCAACTTGTCTTGAGGAGTTACCAATTCTTTAGCTTTCTATCATATCGAAGTCTTACTTGAGTCTTTAAAATGTTAAAAAGTATCGTCAAAACTAAGTTTCTTTTGTCGTCAAAAGTCTTTAATTGAGCTTAAGGAAGTCATGCAAGACATGCTTGAATCTTATGTCCTATGTCTTAAAGACTACACTTCTTTAATTTAACGCTTACTTTATAGTTAAATTGAGAGGTGTGTAGGTATTAAGGTATTAAATAAACTGAGACGAATAATAATAGGTCACTGCGTACCATGCAGTCAGTTAATTTAATTACAACGATGAAGGAATTTCATCAAAACATTTTTGCGTGCAGTTCAATGCGAACATCGTGAAATTAATAAATCCTTCTCATTGCTGTCCGAAAATCCTTTGGGCATCGGATTATCGTTGCTGCCGGTAGCTGAAATATCCGATTATGCTGCTTTTGTTGCATGGAGCATAGCACGCATTGTTACGTTTGATATGCTGGAAAGGTACGCAATAATGAAGTCGTGTACGCTCTCTCATTGCAGACAATGAAACCTCTATGATCAAAATACCATTGTAACACCAAAATAGCAATTAATGGATTTCAGAATGGTGGGTTATATTACATCGGTATTTAATCTGAAATTGTACAGTGAGGCTGTTTTGTTCTCTCTCTCCTGTATGAACATTGAACCCATGTCAATTCTACTATTCATTAGTGACGGAAATAGTGCTGTTTCAGATTCTCTGCTTAATAATAGAAACGTGAATGTTACATAAATGTTTGGGAAGGGATGGAAGAAGAGCCTATCCCTTCAAAAAATAAATGGTATGATGATAAGTTTAAAACGTTTTTTCCCATTATTATATGGGCATCTGTAATTTCGTTCTGTAAGAAAGTTTTTTCCATTATTACAAATCGGTTTCTGTTTCTTCTTCTATAGAAGACTCTTGTATTATGTATGGTACGCACGTCAACGGCCGGTCACCCTGAAGAAACGTGCGCGACGCTTGACCAGATGTCACTGTGTGTAAACATTGTACCTGTGCGCGCTAATACTCGAGAGTGACGTCACACCCTGACTCAATGGGAATCCGTAGCGCTATCGATTGTTTTTTCATTGACTAAACCAACGGTATTCGGCCCGTACTAAGCTATAATTATGCGTAACTAGGTAGCTAAGCGACTGGTTCTTTCGCAATGTGTCTCGTATTTGGTTCTCGTGGAGCAGAACAGAAAGAGGGCTACAATTTATCAATTATGATACAATTTATGCTCACCAGATAGTGTTCAACTGTTCATGTAGTTGCTTAGCTGCTAAAAATTTAATGTTTGACATTGACAGTCGTCGCTTCATTACCGCCAGAAACAAACAGTAGCTCATTAACCATTCATGAATGGTTGCAGTTCTTAGTGTGATTTGTATGTGTTTTTGTAGTCTAATGCGAGTAAAGTTTTGTTTAAAAATTTGTTGTTAACTAATTATTTCTTGTCCTTGTCTACAGAAGAGGACTGGGACATTTCCTACGATAAGTTGTCGGATCTGGTGTACTTGGGCGCTGGAGCCCAAGGCATCGTGTTCGGTGGCCAATACCGCGGCGAACTGGTAGCCGTAAAGCAGCTTCGCGACAAAAATGATTGCAATATCAAACATCTTCGCAAGCTGAACCACGAAAACATCGGTAAGTCGATTCTTTTAAATATTGGTTTGGGCGGCAAACGAATAAATGAATCACTTGATGGTAAGTAATCGGCGTCGACCATCGGTACCTGCAACACCGGAGGAGTAACAATGGCAAAACATAACCTAAGCGTTGTTTTACGTCGATTTTATTAGGCCATAATATGCTGGTGCCGAAAAAGGAGGACTACTCCGGTTCTCGAATGCGAAGTTTCGTTTGATATGCGGCCGAAAACGATGTTTGCGGCCGCATATCAAACGAAACAAAACGAAACATAACTTTCGTGAACTACAATAAACGAATGAAGTGAAGTTATATAAATTTTAGGCAATAAGTAAGTTTAAATTCGAAATTATATATAAAATTTTATTTTAAGTAATTATATTACTAAAGGGCATTGATTAAAATTGGTGCCTTTCTTTTTTCTGGCGGCAGTCGATGATTTCCGGAAAATATTATCTAGAATGACATTACAAACGAAATTGTCTATGGGCTTATATATGGAAATCTCAGTCTGGACTGAGTTATGAGCGTTGAAAGGAGCTAGAGTCAAACATTTTACTTCGGTTTTTTATTCAAATTATTTATAGTTTTGTCACAATTTCTAACTTCAAATTGCGCGCTACTGTACTCCGAGCACAGGAAAACCATATCACACCACAATATATACATATTGCCAGGCACTAATTTTTATTAGCTATTTTCTCTCAGTCGATAACTTGTGGGATGCTTCTAGGAGTTGTGTCATGAAGCTTCATGAGCGTCAGCTGTGGTACCAGTGGTGGGTTGAGTAGTGGTAGCCGTCAAACATCTAAAAAAGTATATTTTTTGCCATTGACTCCTGGTGGGACACTCATCTACTTAATAGTTAGTATAATCTTTTGAAGAAAGAAAACCGTCGACTTTTAAAGTGATCAGCGCTATTCAATCCGCTACCGACGCCGCAGCTGACAAACATAGCATTTCATGATAGAGCTCAGTAAAGTATTTTGCGGGTTTTAGACAGAGAGGAAATTGATTATGAAAATCTGTCATAGGCCATAAACCTTATACATATAAATTGAACACGCTAGCCAATTAAGCGAAATGTTTCTTTTTCTTCAGCAGTGGTCAGTTAATGGTTCACTCTGTTCTGATTCAGTGGCCTTATAACAAAAAAAAAAAACAAAAAAAAAATAAGTAAAAATGTCCACAATAAGCTTTATTATATTCCTTGAAATCATTTATAAACATTTATTACAAAATATTTGTGACAAGTAAATGAAGAAATATGAGTTGTGTACGGTCACCATCAACAAAATCACAGGAATAATATAGCACTATTTTGACATCTTTGAACTGATTTAACTCGGTTTGGACTGTGTTTTTGATGTAAGACCCCATATATTTTTTTGTTTGTAATGTTATTCTGCACCAGTTTTTCCACATCCGATCAACTGCCGCGAAAAAATGAAAAGGCACCACGCTCCATACAAATTTGGTCATTGTCATTTCATAATGCCTTAGCATAAGGCTTAGCACATATACTCATCAAGAAAATCATGAATAAACTTATAATATTAATGTTTAAGATGGAAAATCTTAAACAGGATAAGAACCTCCTTTCAAAGATTTATTATACGACTAAGTTAAAAGTTTTAGAATGTTGGCATTGTCATTTATTGACATTTTTTTATAAAATAATGAAAATAAAATTTATTCGTATTATATTAGTACAGTCAGTTAAAAAATTTAAATGTCTACATGAGATTTTGAAGAGACTAAATTATTTCGAGTTATGATGATTAACAATATAAATTTGAAATTATTAACAATATATCTTATCTATCAATGTTTTTATATTAATAGATGTGAAAGAATAGTTAAATATATACTAGCAATACATACGTTTATTTTTCTAGCGGTATTATTAGTTTTAAAATAAAACATTACACATGAAACATTTATGTACAATATATAAGGTATTCAGATTAGCATTTGATTACCCTAAATGTTACTAACTCTCATAGACTTATAAAATATATAGGTTCGCGTTTAAAACTATTTGAGCTGACTGTACATTGATTTTATACCTTCATTTAGGTGGTTCCTTTGGTGCCCTACGTGTTGCCCACACGAAGTAACCGTGATAAAACGAAAACTTGTAATTACTTTTATTCATTTTTTAAATAAAAATTAACCCAAACGAAAATCAAACGATAACTATTTTGGTTTCGTCGAAATGACATTAAACGTCCGAAGAATAATCTGTCAAACTCGAGTTTTTGTTCGTGCGGTTTGTACAATTAGAGTAGGGTTCCGAAAATATCGACGTCAAACAGTACATCTCATACTAGTTTCTGGCTTGTTTCATTCCTTTTTCGTTCGCAATAAATGTCATTGTAGTAGGCAATCTTCGAAGTATCGTCCGAAAGTTTGTTTTTCGTCAAATCAGAGTAGACCTACTGAGCTCTCCCTCGTGAAGAAGTTCCCTCAGGTGGGACATGATGGCGGTTTCGAAATCGGCACTGAGGTGTATATGTAATTCACGTCATGTTCTGCGAGTGTGTTTATAGCCAACAAAATAATGTAATGATTAGAAATTTAGAATACTTGTGTCCTCTGCTAAAATAGATTGATTTAAAAGAAAGAAAGTGTTTATCATGAAATGTTTTTTTGATGTGACTACGGTGTTGCTTAAAATGTGCATGTGATATTTTCACAACTGAAAGTGTGTAGTGTACCTAGTTTACTTTAACCGCTGTCACGGATTATTATTGAAATCAAATTATTGCTGCGTTTAGTAGTTCCAAATTGAATTAGTAAGGAAATAATTTTATCATATTTCCATGGTCATTATATTTGAAACAGTAAACTATGTGGTGTCCATATCGATCACGTCTGGCTGATACTATATATATATATATGATAGGCGGTCAACAAGCATATGACTATCACCACTATTTCATATTACAACCTTCTGCACGCGAGCTGCCAGTAACTCTTGAATGGAATGGAAATAATTCTTCTTTCTAACTTACATTATGAAATAAACTTTTGAGTTATAGTTTTCTGTATTCCTACAGAAGATGCATTAAGTCGGTTCCATGTCTATAAATGTATGCTTTAGTAAAACTTTAAGAGCGGAGTGTGGTTCAAAGATGCATTAGTTTTGTTATCTTTACGACTGCACAAATCATACATTGTTTTATTTGTGTATAAGCAAGTTTAACTCGTCGAGTACCGGGTTTGTAGACACAATTATTGAACAATAGGTTGCGGTTACCGGTGACCGCTTGGTGTTTGACAGTTTAAAATACGATGATAATCAATGAAATTAAAACATAACTTTACCATTTACATTTTGACTAATGAAAATATCTGAAATTGTTGCATTTAATTAATTTTCGGCCGTGATATCACAGTTGCAAAAGTTATTACCGAATGTAAACACGTTCTACTGGTACTATTTACCGAAACCCGAACGAAGCCCAAACATTGATAATATTTCTGAACTTATAGAAACCTCTATTTGTATTGCATTACAAACAGATTTTATAATTGCAAAAATGTGGTCGATATGGTCATTATTTATTGTAAGATACTATTCAAAACGGCGTATAATCTAAACAATAACATAAAAAAGGTACTGACTTTGTTTCTGTATTTCTTCTCAGTGAGTTGTTATTGAAATCGATTTTAATTTATTGTGAAAGTGACAAAGTATTATGATATTTCTATGTGTTTAAATGAGAGTTAATAACGATTTAAAGTCATGTTTAGTGTTTGTGTGACCAATTCTCGTGTGTGCGTGTGTGTGTATGTGTAGGTGGATTTATGAAAAACAACGGTAAGTAGTATGACACACGACCTGGGGGGGAGGGGGGCTATTACAACCACTTAATTCCAGTTAATTTACGTCTTAAAATGAACTGCCGTGCACATCCGTATTATGAGGTCTTATTGACAGCCATCCAGAAATCGGTCAAGTGACACATGATTTGGAATAAGCCCCTGGTGGTTAATAAATATAATTATGTCACCGATTCATGGTAGATGTTCCGCCCACACGCACGAAGCGCTTCGCTTCAAGCTTCCTTGTGCGTACTGCTAAAGAGTGGAATTCTTTGCCAGAGTCTGTATTTTCTGAAGGGTACAACCTGGGAGTCTTCAAGGCCCGAGTGACTAGGTTGCTTATGGGACGACGTGATACATCGTAGACCGCATCATCGTTTACCACCAGGCGAGATAGTGGTCAAACGTCGCTCCATCAAATATAATTATATAAAAAAAAAGCACGGAGTCTGGAATTGTGCCCGGTATATAGTAATAGGTTCACCACCTATTACATGGGACTCATAACATAAATAGTGAAAAGTGGGTGTTACATTGTACAGTGGCATAATGTACACCTCTGCCTACCCCTTCAGGGATAAAAGGCGTGATGTTATGAAACTTTTTATGTAAGTTAAGTTTATCTATGAAATAAATCTATCCTATTAAGAAATGATCTTTTATTTAATGACTTAATAAACACTTTTTAGGTGAACCCTGTGTTTTATTTCTATTGTTTTACGTAACTAATGTGAGATTTTACAATTTGTACTGTGACTATTTTCGGGCGGCGTGAAATGTTTAGATCTGTCAGGAAACTAATAATTTAGCTACACTCAACTTGGAACTTAGTCTAACTCTTAGTCCAACAAAATAAAAAACAATGAAAATCTATCTAGAGTTATAAATGGTGTGTGTAACTAACACGAGATGTTGATGTAGTACCGTTTAGACCGTAACACAATCAACCGATTCCTCCTACGGTAAAACTATAATATCACCTATATTCCTATAGATTATATTCCTATGGATTGGCGTTCCCACTAGCTGTCTGTTAACGCGTCAATGGACCTTCGAGTTACGTTGAATGCTATGCTACGCGGCGCGTAGTACATGCTACGCTCGCTACGGCGTAGACCGTGCTACGAGGTTTGCATTTCCGTTGTGCAAAGCTGTACTAATTCTTA